TTCCTCAGATTTTGTATCAAACTTTTCGTGTTTAAGAGCAGATGAAAATATTGTTAATCCAAATTGCACAAAAAGATATGCATTTGTGTTAAAATGATCAACGGGTTCAGTGATGTCACGTTTTAATTGCACCGTAAAGTTCATCTCCAAATTTGTTTTAACAGTCTTAACCTTTGGTTCCGATTTTGATATATCAAGATTCTGTGATATAAGTCCTTTACATAATGTTATAGTTTCTTTGGCCTCAAATTCAGAATTATTATTCAGCCCTACTGCCACTTTTTGTAATACCTCTTCAACTTTTCGCAAAATCTTTAAACTTTGTGTTTCTCGCATAATATCTTTAAGTGGTGTCAACAAGATACCGATATTCTTAAACCGGATAATTTTTGCGAGGATCTCAAATGATCCAAAACCCTTGTTAGCTTTCATTTCCTTTAATTTACCCGTTATTTCCTCTGTATCTTTCTCTTCTGCAACATGACCAAATATATCATTAATAATAATATCCACAATTAGTTGAAGACAATAATCAATGTCTCCGACCGCTAAGTTTGGGGCTAAATTAAACAAGAGGGAATGTAATGTAAATCCAAGGATATGTAACTGATAGCCTCGTGTAAGTGCACCTTGTAGTTCTTTTACAATAAATGAAAAATATATAGGTCCCAGAAAATTTGAAATTTTAACTATGGTATCTCTTGTAACATCACGAGTATCTTGACTGCGACTTCTTAATATTTGACATATTGTAATGAGTAATCCTGGTAAATTGAGACGAAGCGACGTCTCAGGTAAAGCTTTTAATAATTTTGTGATCGCAAATGCCACAGGTACTCGTACCGTAATATTATTGTCATCACATTTGGTCAAATATAATTTCAATCCAGGCAGTACTCGACTTATTATAGCATCGTGAATACGTTGAGATAAAACCTTCTCGGCTATTGCATCATTCGGTACATCAATGTTTAATGACTCATCTTGTTTATTTGAATCGTCCTCCTCCTCCTCTTCAGCATCTTCAGTTATCATGTCAATCTCCTTTGAATGTGGTTCATCGCATGTCTCCCTTTTATCATCCCTTTTATCATCCCTTTTATCATTCCCTTCAAGTTCAACTAATTTATTTGATGACTGAGATCTAACTATACTCTCAGAAATATTGAAATGAAAATTATCCAAAACGGTCATAATGGTCCTAATTAATACTTTTTCAATTGTTAATTTTCGTGAAATAAATTTCATGTACTGTTTTAAAAGAGCGTAATATTGGTCCCATTGAAGTTGACTAGCAATAACACCAATTGCTGAAATAGTTTCATATGATCATTAATTCGATCTGATTCAAAAATGAAGTGTTCTAAGAGCGGTAAAAATATTTGCACAAGACTTGCACTCTTTAACTTTCCCATGGAACATTCGTTAGAAAACCTTTTAATCGCACGTACGCGACGATGCATTTGAAGATGATAAATATTATTGAAAAAGTTTGCTTCTTCGTCATCGAATAGTAAACAGGACATATCAACAAATTGAGGCAGCATAGAACATTTCTTAACCGCATAACATAGTATATTAAGAAATTCCATACGAACTAGTTCTATCGATAACTTCATGCCTTTTTTGATTGCAGGATAAATAACTTTAATTAAAATATTCTGAAATTTGTTTTGAATATCATTATTGAATTCTATATTATTGGTATTATTACGATATTCCACAAAACGATCAATAAACCGAATTATGCAATAAGATGAATTATTTCGAATTGAAAGTTCTTCAGGATCTTGAATAAAGAAGATGCAATTTTGTAGCAATGGCAACCATTGCATTGCTGAAAATATTTTATAAGATTCTTGGTTAATACGATTAAAAGCATCTAAACGCTTTTCAAAATCTGGTTCATTTAATCTAATTGTCGAAAATGAATTAAGTTCTTTAATGAGTTCTACTACTTCCTGTAACGTATTATCTAATTTGGAAAATTCTTCGAGGACTTCAACCAATAGATTACGGCATTCTCGCGAGCGAAGCGTCGAAAACTCTCTAGATACTTGTTCATAATATTTTATAAATAAATCATTGGACGGTTCAAACCCTGGAATGATGCATAGAAAGTTTTTAATGATTTTCAGAATATGTGTTTTGGTTTGTTCGGTAACAAATCGAGATGTCTTTCGAAGATGTGGAATTAATAAATCCACCAATTTTTTAGCTTGTTCTCCATTATTAACATATGCCGCAATCTGTGAAAGGATTGAAATTTCTCGCTTAGAAAATGCATCTTTACCAAATGTACCATTTTGACTATGTTGTAATAACCCATATTCTAGGTTATCTAACAAAGAAGAAATGTGAGGGCGTATCACTTTAGTGATCAAATTTGTGCTATCTGCCTGAATAAGATCATCAATTTCCATTTCATTTTCACAAATTTTCAATATATTTTCTATAATATCTAAAACAATCGAAACAACTGACGCTCGGACCTTTTTCGCAGAGAGGCATGCGAATATTTTTGGTAACACTTCTTTGTTGTAATCAACTAAAAATAGTAAATAGTCTCTGTTTGAAGCCCATGTAGAGAATAATTCCATTAACGCAGAAGGTGCTTGTGTATTTTCAATGTTTAATTTAGGAATTCGTAATGAAATAAATGAATTAAACATTGCATTAATGTAGGGTTGATAATTAAAAGATGAACGAATCTTGAAAAACTCATTAATTCTTTTTAAACCAAGCTGTCTAATAATTTTAAATTGTTGGTTACGATCTTTTACATCATTAGCTGTTTCAATGTTATCAGGTATAATATTACTATCAGTTTTAATATCCAACTGATCTTTTCGCATTTTATCTTCTGATATCAAGTTTTTTTGTGCACTATTAACCATATACAAAACGACTTTGAGCATATCCGAAATAAAGGGAAATAAGTAGGCTCCTAATTGTTTCAAGCAATCTTCTAAAAAATTCAGGTATCCAAGTTGTTTTCGATAAGGAACAATATTATCAACAGTTATATTTGGTACAAACTTGAATTCATTATCAATAATATCTGGTTGTTGACGAATTACTGTAAAAGGTTCCAAGAGTAAATTAACAAGAAATTCGAGTTCGGATTGATTACAATTGATTAATGCAGACAAAACAGCTACTCTTCTGGCACCCATTCCAGTCTTTGATGAAGCTTTACCCCTTCTTGCAATCACTCGACCATATAAAATACGTATTATAATAGGCATTATTTCAGCCCTATGTTCTAACTCTATTGAACCATTTTCTGCATTAAGCGAGAATGTTAATAATTCATCCCTAAACTTTGCTTCATCAACAAGGTTACGAAGATTATTTTCATAAGGAGTGACGCCTTTGAACTTCCACGTAAACAAACATTCTAATGCAGGACTCTGTATTTTGATGTCTCCTCTCATTAATAGCCGCAAATAAATATTTTGTAACTCTGTAGACTTGTATACTGAACGTGGATTCTTGAATTTCGAAAATAACTTTAAATAAAGTAACATTTTAGACCTGATTTCCCTTGCGGATTGTTTGGCAAGATCATCTTTCTTTTCATATTCAGTTTCTATTGTTTCGCATGATTTACTATCTTGTGCTGCCACTTCAGTTTCTTGACTTTCCTTATCAATCCTTACATCATCAACAGAGTCTTCGGCAGCTAAGTTATATTTAGTTTCTGCATATTGAAGAAAAAAGGAACTAACTGTCGAGAGTGCTGCTCAGCAATATGAGGGACTTCTGTCAATGTCCTAATCAAGAGACCGTAATTATTCCAATAGTCAAAATTTACATTTTCTGGATCACAAATCTAACGTAAAATATAATGAGTTGAAAGTTTATGCAAACTTGTAATATAATACTGTAATAGCGAACGAAATTTATTATTTACCGAGATAAAATGTGTAATATAACTGTTGATAAAATTATTAGTTATGAATTTATAGCCATCGCTCACTGCCTTGTTGAATTTAGATAAGTTAGGACATTCAAAAGATATTCCACCAAATTTGGTCAAAGTAGTTGATAAATTCGTATCCTTATTGAAATAGGATTCAAGGACCTTTGTTGAAAATCCAGAATACGTGAACTTAAATTCGTTAAGACGGAACACTTCAGCATGTATTAATCTCCAGAAAGTGCGAGGATCATTCTGTGCAACATTTGCAAGAATATTGATTGCTTCTGTCCAGATAGCACTAAAGTTGATGGACAGTAAACCTTATAAATCAACAAAGATAATCAATGTATAAATATGTATAAATAGCAAATTCAAAAATCTGAACACATTAGATAAATATGCAATGGAACGCTTTCAAACCAAAGCAGAATAATGGAATGACTTCTGAATAAAATTCTGGTACTCGCTTAGTAGATAGTAATGTATTTATCCTTCGGAGCATCATAGTTTTGTTACGATATTCTGCAATAGATGTTTCAATTTCCTCAACTTTATAAGCCATTGCGAATATTTCGCAGGGCTCTTGTTCATTTTTAGAAGTTTCCCCATTATTAAATGGAAATTGATCGAAAAGCATGAGAATTTTCAACGAATACAACCGGCTTTGATGTATAAAGGAGCCAATGTTGCATTTTAGATGGGGATATATTTTCTCAAGAGCCTCTGTATCGAATAAAAAGGCACTTTTTTTACTAAAGAAAGCAGTAAAGTAAATTTCTGAGGTAATCTTAATATAAAATAACCAAGTCAATTGAATCAATTTAATTACCTTGTTCGCATATATTCCATATATTCCGCGATAGACCTCAAAATAACTTCATTTGCATAATATACTATCAAAATTTCGTCAACAATAATATTCCATATACCAATTAAATGGTCTATTCCATTGTTCCCTAAAGAACTTTTGCATAAATTAGTTACAGTAGTGATTGTTTGTCCTAACAAATTTTGTGCAAGTACAAATGGAAAGCCACGAGTCAAAGGCCGTTTTAGATACGGCATTGTTGAGGAAGTACTTTCACAATTAAGGTATCGAATCAATGATTTAATTAGAGATAATAGCGAATTAAATGTCTTTAAAAATGGCACGGATACACGCGTTACTATAGTGAGATTTGCAGATACTAATGTTAAACACGAAATCTGTGTATTTTCCTTATTTTCCTTCAATAACAGTAATAATATAAAGTTAAGACACATGCATAGCAGTACTTTAAACATAAAAATACAACCATCTTATTACTGTATTACCACCTACCGAATCTAAGTCCAACAAACTCGTTTCATGCACCTCTGAGGCCCAATCATAATCACGACTTATCAAACTTATTAGTCCATCTGTGATATTTTGGTCTTCGGTGCATTTTATTTCTTCCGTACTAGCATTAGGAAATTTTATTAATCCTTCCTTTGTAATAAATGAAGAAACAGTGCCTGAAGATATTAAAATGGTTTTTGTAAATAGCAAATGTGCAAGAAAAATAGTAATTTTCGTTGAAGCCACATTCCAATGAGTTGAAGAAAACCTATTTCATTTAATTAAAGAATGAAAATCAAATATCTCAAAATATTTGAATGCGATGACATGAAAGCATTCCTTTAGAAACATACCTAACAATATATGGAAGCATGAATTGCGTGTAATGTTCCCATTTTAGGTTCGCTAAAGATAAACAGAATGACAAAACAGGTTCGACGTCCTATAAATTAAAGTTATATATGGCATTGACATTTAGTAAACCACAAAAGCATTATACTGTATATATTAAAATCTCAATATTCACATACATTGTACTCAAAAATTTTATCTAAAATGTCTTTTCCACTAGCGAAAATGTCTTCCAATTTGGACAACATCATCAATGATGTACATGAATTGAAAAATTGCTGGCGAAAAAAGTTGCGGGAATTTGACTCAACTAAAGATGGTACTAGAACGTAATGCGCTAGATTTTTTATTATATCGAAAACATGTTTCAAATCTTTTTTAAATAATTATAAAAACATTAAACGTAAGTATAGAATGCTAAAATGAGATATTCGAATGCGGGAATAATAAAAGTTAAAAAGGTACCATTGACACGACTGCCTTTGCGAACCGTCAAACATATATAAATGAGAGATAAATTTATCCCAAATTTGACAACCGTTGTATCAGGTATAGATTGATTTTCATTTGTATTGTCCTGGACTATACAATTTAGCTCGTTTTCTACCTCACTTAAATATAAATTCCATACAGGTCCAATATTTTCATTTTTAGTATGATGAAGAATTGCAACAGTAGTCATAGTAAGAATGCGATAGCCAGGATTATTTTCTGATGATAAAATTTATTAATGGAGATTAATATAGAATAATAACTTCCAAAAATTGATCAAAAATAAGACATTTTAATTTTTTACCAATGCTGATATCATTTTTTGAATGTCTATATGACGCGTTCAACAATTCCTTCAATAGTGTTGGTGTATTAGCATGAAGCATATTATCCGGTGACTTAAAGAAATAGAACACCATTATTAGTAATTAAATCAATTTTTCATAAGATTATAAGTGTCTTTAATGGTACCTGAGTAGCTTCATAACATAAGATGCTTAATCCTTCACAATAAGCATCCGTTGGCGATTCGCTAAACGAATCGACTATATAATTAATTATTTGTGCAAGGTTTTCAGCATGTGCATGACGTAGAAGAAATGCAAATGCTTCAGCAGCAAAACGACGAACATAAGGCTTTTGATATTCCTCTCCAAGCAAAGGTGCTATGAGTCTAATAGGATACGAATGATAACATTACACTAATCATCCAAAAAAAAAAAAAAACTCGATACCATTCTACTTTTAAGAAAGATTCCTACCGATAAGTTGTACACAGATCCCCAATTATTTGATTGAACAAATATTTAAATAAATAGGCTATACATTTAAATGTCCACTTTTAACAAATTCAACAAATCCAATGTCAGTCAGTCCGAAAAAATTATTGATTGATTGATTGATTGATTATGAATATTATTAAGTACCTCCAATATTTTGACATCTCGAAGTCTTGTAAGAGGTATTATTGCTCCAAAAATTCGCTCAAAAAATGGATAAAAATCTATTTCCAGATCTCTCGACAGTTTCGTAACAAGACTAAAAATAAATGTTAATGGATATTTAAATTCTACCGGATATTACGTATAGGATAGCAATAATATATATTAATATATGTACTCCAATAATGGTTCCAGAGCAAGGCTATCTTCGACTTGAAGATGTTTTTCCAAAATTTGAATTATCTTTTCTTTATGATATATTAATTGAGGTAATGACTGACAATATTCCGAGACTTCACGTACAAAAATTTTAAAGTGTGTTGACAAATTGAGTTCTTTCCATGATTCCAGGGATTCGTAAAAGAATGATCCAAACCCCTATAAAAAAGTTAATAATTGTTAATGGTAAAAAAAAAGAATGTACTATCTAGTGTTCTGCAAACCAATATTCGCAAAAATAATTAATATTAAAATTGAATATTAACAAATATTGCTTAAATTATGTATGGTTTTGCGAAACACTAAGTACTTTCAATAAAAAAGCATTAATAAATTACCTCAGGCTCTTGTTCTTTTGTCGCAGTATGCGTAATGTCGATTTTTAAATTTTCTACAAGAACATTGAAGGGTTGATACTAAATAAAGAAGATCGAATTTTTTTAATGTTCTATCTGCGAATATGCATTTTGAATGACTGAATCTTTACCTTGTACCGATTTTTTCCCCCTCCAATATTTAGCTCTTTAGACATTATATTATCTTTCATTGTTGGATGTATAAATGCAATTGATTATCTGAATCTTTTATATTAAATACTGAAATAGCAGGATTGAGGTTTTGATTGGCCAAGATCAAGGATCAACGCTTCCATTTTAAGATTAAAAAAATTTTTTTTGTTACACCTGATCGTTTGATTCGATTCGTAGAGTGCTCTGTTCAATCAGAGACGGCTTTTACACACGACCAATCAGAATTGAGACGAATGACTAACACTGATGAAGCTTTCAGCTCATCGAGCCGTTACTCTAATATATAGGTTTCCTCAATTTTATGCAATTGAATTTATGTGGTAAATTTGTTTTAACAAAAATATAATCGTCATTTATAACACTGTACAGTAAAAATAGTGATTGGACACGTCAAAAAAAAAACCACCCAGGTCACTCGCGGGTGGGTTAAAAAAGCAACCCATCGGGTGGACTCATGAGTCACCCGGGTGAAAATAACCTGTATATACAAATATATTTATAAGTATGTAATAGTTATATCCTTGGTATATGGTTTGTTTTAACAAAAATAAAATAGTAATTTTATTTTAGATCGGGTAGAAATTTACTAAGAATTCATTGTTTATTATGCTTGATACGTAAAAAATGTAAAAGTAATTCTTGAACGTCCTTTATCAATGGTAAATTTTTGAATAAAAAAAGATGGTTTGTATGGTAACGTTTAAAAATTTACCTCCGATCCATTGAGTGGGTGCTTGAGAACACCCTTAGTCTAATATAAAGTCCGTTTTTGAAAAGTTTTTTTTTTTAAAAAAAAAGCAATTAATATACATACAAATACATATTTGGATTGAAGTTTAGTAAAGTCTTGCGCAAAAGATCATGGGTCACCCATCTGGTGACTCGCCCGTTTCTACCCAGGTGGCCAAAACTCCACCGTCCACCCGCGGGTGAGCCGGGTGACACCAATCACTACCCTGAATAATACTAACAGAGGTTATATTGGAATTTCGACCTTTTTATCCACTTTTCTTGAATTTTGATTGGCTAAAAAAAAATTTAACAATCAAATTTGTAGAATTTGGCAAAATTTTAGTTAAATTCTACCATTTTTCATATATAACCTTTGTTAAAATTATTCGGGTCCTGATACGGTACTCCTAGCTCTCCACAAAAAAATTGCTCATCCCCTGTAATATTGACCAATCGAATTTCAGGATCAGGCGAATGTGAAATTGAAGCGAAACCATTATTTTACAAAAAAAAACATGTTCTAATTAGGAAAATACCTTCTGCGGCTTAATTAAAAATGTTCCTTATGAAATTTTACTAACAAGCACGCATTATTATAATCTAACCCTAACTATAACGCGGTTTTCTTAGCTTTAGTTTTACACACAACTTCTTTCTTGGAAAACAAACGCGTTTGTTTTGATTATCACTTTACATCCAATCTTAAATTTTGATTGGTCAAAATTACTGCCTAAAATGAATAAAATATACATTTTTTCCCATCCAGTCTTTCTTATGACGGTTTGAATCCAGAGGATGTTGAAACGAAAACGGTAATCGCACTGAATTTTGTGTAGCATATGTGAGTTTATTTTTCTTAGCTTTTTTTCTTTTTGATGAATTTTTTTATTTATAGGGTTCGGTTAATGAAACGTAGGCTTATTTTCTTTTTTTAAAAAATCAGCTTTATTATATAACCTTATCAGCAATAACGATTTCTTAAAACTGGGTCAAATACCATGATCCTGAAGACCCTTATAGGAAGAGAAAAAATAATAAGATTATCTTATTTGGGCGTATTTCAGAAAGCCGGACATTATAAAAATTCTTTTCTCCTACAGTACTGGACAGTAAAAGACATCTAATCTATGCTATAAGGCACCAATTTTATAAACTATTATAAACTTTACCTCCTTATAACCTACAGTACTGGACAGTAAAAGACATTCAATCTATGCTATAAGGCACCAATTTTATAAACTATTATAAACTTTACCTCCTTATAACTTTCTTAAAATAAACAATAAGAAAAAATCCTCTGACAGGATTGTAGTTTAGCTAAAAATCTATCAATTTGTCAGAGGATTTTTTGATTTAAAAAGTTATAACAATTTAAAGTCTCTACTAATAAAGAGTGGATGCAGTTTACTGTCCAGTACTGTAGTAAAATGAAAAATACTTTTAAGGTACTTGCATAATATCATTAAAATTATTTACTGCATATCTGATTATCAAGGAAGTTCTCACAGCTTCGGTGACAATGGAATGTACATTAGTAATCGTTTAATCCATCGATGGCCGAACCTCATTTATGACGACTATCATTTTGGGTAGGCCTCAAACTTTATATTAGATGAAATCAGGAAGAAGCTGGAATTTCACGCCTAGTCCGTTAATTCGGAAATGTCACTTTTAACTCGTGACAATGAAGATCTATAATCTAAAATATAGAATAGATTCACTTGCTAAATTATAAAAATTTGTCAGTATTACATGATTAGGGAAAGTTATCTGGCATTGTGATAGGTTGTTCAAATTTTTGAGGGGGATAGTCGAATGTGAGATGTTAACTGAAGATTTAACTTCGAACTTATATATAAAATGCCTCTCATTTCGTTTAATAAAGCCCAGATTCATTTTGTGAATCTAATTAGCATATAGGAAGTTGACCGAAAAGACCTATCTGAATAATTAGATGTATTCACTTGTATTTGTTTCTGTTATTCACTATTCAATTGTATTATCTTGTTACTGTTCTTTAAAAACCTTTACTCTGGTATTATTACCACGTACATATTCGGACAGGGCCCCGGATAATACTAATAGAGGTGGAATCATTAAACCGGACAAGAAATTTTAAATTATTGTCGGAAGTTATATTATTAAAATATGAATCTATTGTTATTAAACCGGCACGGAAATTTTTCGAAAGCAATTTTTCAAGAACCCAATTTTTTACAATTTTTTGCACAAAGCTACATATGGGACCCCCCACAGCAAAAGGGGGCAGTGGGCCAAAAAAATTTTATTTTATTTTAATTGATTTCTTGAAGAAT